GAAATAACATTCAACACAAAATAAGGAGAATAGAGAATAATTTGTATTTGGAAGTATGAAAAGGAAGAAAACTCTCTTCCACTGAACAGTCAAACTTTATCAAAGCTAAATATAGGAAGGCTGCCCCTGCTGAATGTACGTTCAATTCCCACAAAGGTCCGCTGGAGACCCAAGGAAGGTCAAAGTTCAGTATTTTTTCTTCCACTCACTTTTAAAGAATGCTCCTGTATGAAGAGACCTTAGAGAATCATAGCCTTCACTATTCAAAGTGTGTTGTGTGGACCAGCAGCATCAGCACCACCCAGGCACCTGATAGGATGCAGAAACCAGGCCCTCCCCCAGACCCAGTGAATCAGAATCTGCGTCTTAACAAGGCCCCCTGGGATCTCCATGCAAATCAAGTTTGAGAAATGCAAATCGAGTTCTGTTTAGTTTCTAAACACATACTCTGGGAAGGTATAGTACCCATGGGCTCCCTCAGGGCTCAGAGTGGGTACGCAGGGGTCCCTTCATCACAATGAAGGGAGACCTACTCTGTGTGATCCTGTTTAGGCTTCCAGGTAAGATCTCGTTGGAACAAAAGGTTTGTGACTTAAAATTTTTTTAATTGAAAAAGAAAAGAAAAGAAGCTTGAAAAACAATAATCCAGTTCATTTCATTTTCCAAATGGGAAGAGTGAGTAACAAAGAAAACACGTGACTTTGCCTGAGTCCTGTGGTGGGAAATGACAGGACTGTGATGCTGTCCAAGCCTCATAATCCCAGCATCTTTCCACTTCGCTGCTGTGCACTGAAGAACACAGCACCAAACACCAGATATTTCGGAACAACTGCTTGTCAAGTGCCATCAAGCACCACAGGTGTCTTCTAGCTGGGCCTTGAATTTCAAAATCAACTCCTTTCGTGCTCATGCCTCGTAACTTCCTTCAAGGGCTCATCCAATCCACAGAAAGCGCTATTTGCTTTGCTCTCCGAGCTTGAAGAGGTCTCCAGCTGCAGGTTGTGTACGCTGCTAACTGAGAGTACCCTGCAGGTTTGTTTGTGGATATTTCAGCTAATTATCTTGCCACAGACCATTGAGACAGATCTGGATGACTGTGCAATTAATAGTGCCGAAGAAGTAATTAGGGAGAATACCCGCACGCACGGCCCCCCCAGTGCTGACACATCAGTGTGAGCATTTCCTTCTGAATGTGATTAATTACATAAATAATTCTCAGAAATGAAATTAGAGATCACCCACGCATCACACCCGGTAATGTTTTAAGGCATTACTGCCTGAATCTGTGTAATGAATTAACACGACAGTCTGGTTTGAATTTTTCAATTTTCAGCAGCCATCCTGCTCTGTTAGCAAGTGACCCTGTGGCCCCTATCAGTTTCTGTAACAGTTTGAATGAGTCATTCTGAAAAGAACACAGATTTGAAAATATCTGAGCCTCGAGAAAGAAGTGTACACACTGGATTGTGACCCATCACGCTTCATGGCAGAGCCAGACATGATGACCAGGTTTCTAGATCCCTTTGTCCACTAGATAGATGCCTCATGTTAGAGCACCAGCATGAAAGATTTTCCCACGAGAACTAAATATTCAACCATTCTGTTACAGTCATAGTACTGCCCCATTATTTTCATTTGTAAGGAAATCTTTGAGCAACTGCTGGTTGACATACAAAAGCAATTTCAGTTAGAACTGATTTACATAGATTTCCCTTAAACTTAGGAATCCTAAAAGTTAGTGGAGAAAGACAGGAGGGACGATGATGAGAAGAACCACAAAACGGAGGAGTTTTTAAAATCATTCTTTTTTTTCCCCCAGTGTTAAAGTCAATTATTTTACGCAGTCAAGTACAAGGATTCTACAGTTTTAGAAGACAAACCCTTAGCTATCATTTTACAAATGAGGAAACTAAGGCCCAGAGAAAGCAACTGATGTATTTAAGATCATATCATTGATTTGTGATATGTGAAAGTGTTCTAGAAAGGAAGCAGATTGGTACTAACTAGAAGAAAGTAATTGGTAAAGCTGTTACTCTTGTTCAACATTTTCAGGGCTAACATTGAGATATCAACAAATTGTAAACGAATGTGAAATCAGATCAAATTTTCTAAACCCCAGTTGCATGGTATTTGTTAGATCTCATTATAAGTTTTCAGATATTATTATGGAAAATGTCTTTTCTTTTAATCTAGTCAAAAACTGTAGGGGTAGGCATAAATTTTTTAGTTTTGCACAAATAAGATAGTTTTCTTGAATAATTTCGTAGCTGGATTATACCTATTCTATTTTGTTCATCTTTAGAAAGTTTATTTGAAATCTATATTAAATCTTACCTCCATGTATTTTCCTCACCTTTCCAACCTACACTGACAATCTCTTTCCCCTGAAATGTTTTTTTCTCCCATATGAATGAGAAACCATGTTCTATACCTTTCTTTGGTCGTATGTCCTTCAACATATGACCCAATAATTCCACTTCTGAGGATTTATAAAAGGAACTAATCAGAGATATATACCCATCAGGTTAGCAGGAAAGATATTTATTGTAACACTATTTATATTGTCAAAAAAATTGGAAAAAGTCTCAAAAACAAATTGACTATATAAATCATGAGTTAGTTATAAGTAGTTTACTCTAGAGACTTTTAAAATAATTTTGTAGAGGAATAGTTCATGAATTTTTGTTACTCAGTGTTTGCTTAAGTGGAGAAAAAGGGAATTCATAAAACAGTATGTGCGATGATTTAATGTTTCTAGAAATGCATGTAAGTGATGTAGTGGTGAGATCTCTAGTAATTTTATATGTTGTTGGGGTACTTCTATTTTTTTCCTACAAAGAATAGTAACAAAATCAAGAGAAATTTTCTTTAAGGTTATGTAATTAATTCAGAAAATAAGTTAGTATTGTGTTAACAGAAGAGGCTTCACTTCCGTCATTTTTGAGGACCTCTGTGATGAGCCTGCAGAGGACATGGTAAACATTACCAATAATCCTGCAATCTTTTCACCTAAGACAGAGAATTATTGACTTAGTATTTCTGATTTATTAATAGGATACTGATGTTGTTGGTAATGTTATATTTTTAAGACTGAAATAAAAATAGAACCATGTTCACAAATTTCGGGTGACTTATACGCAAACCACTAAATTTTTAAGAACTAATTTCTATATCACGGACAATTAACTTTGGAAGTAGTTAGACCTCATTTTAAATCTTGGCTCTGCCAGTTGCTAGCTTTACAGCTTTGTGCAAAATATAAATGATTGAGTTGTGCATATTAAATGAGATCATATATGTAAATCACTTAGTACAAAGCATGAAATACGATTCAAAGCTTAATAAAATATAACCTTCACAAGCATCATCATCAACATTCTCATCATCTGCATTCCTTTTTAATGAAAAGTCACCTATCCCACAATATCTTTACATGCTGGGTCGTAAATTAGTGCTAGTTCACAAGGCTATACTTGCCAGCCAGACCTTATAAACGTGGAGATTCAGAGCAAAGACTTAGTGGTGCTACTTGACTCAGAGAAGGACTAGGGCAGTTATGGATCCGGAAGTCCAGTTGTGAAGTCTCTGAAACCAGAGTGGAAGTCATAAATAATGAGTACAGCAGCATATTGGTGTTGTCCCACAAACAGGAGTGACCATGAGTAAGAGTATCTATCTCCCTGGAGATGCTTACTACATTTCCATTGATGGTGATTTTTAGTTCCAAAAAGGACACACTATTTTTCTATTTAGCCCTCTCTTAGTTTTAACTTCTTCTTTTGGAAAATAAGGACAGTTCCATTTCACTTACCTCATGGGACTTATTCAGCTAATAAAAGTAAAGCATTCTGACCACATAACGTTATATAGACAGCACGTAATATAATTAGTAGGCAGAACGCAGTTACCTTGATTGGTATTTTTCCAGAAAGTAGAGTAGATACTCATTCCTACTTGATGTAAAAACTCTTCTATGGCCATTAATCATTGACAGGGAAATATAATTGGCAAATCTAGAAAGCTGCCAAATGCTGGTATATCTACACTGATATTTAACATTTTTCACATTAAAATTCTTTAGATAGAAATAAACTTCCTTCAATATTTCTTGTCTTATTTACTGTAAAATTGCAGGCAGTCTGATAAATGGAGTAATAGTTTCTAGTGTCACTGTGGCTGGGAAATGCATTTGAGTGTCTTCTGCTACTATAACTTAATAATTCATTTCAGCACTTCTACCTGTAAATCGCAAAAGGTTTGACGGACAGAGTGCTGGGAAGAAATGCGCTCTTTTTGTCAATACAAATAACTTGTATTTTAGGACTGTGTGCAAAAAAAAAATGTCCACATGTACAGTTACTGAGTTCATAGGCTCGAGATTGTCCACACCCTGTGATGTTGGGTTCAGTTTTCAGGGCATGACATCTGTTAATTTTCAAGCCGAAAAAGTTATATATGAGACGTCTCAGCTTAATAAATAATTTCTTAAGATACTAAGTGATTTTTATTTTAGTTTATTTACCAGGAAGTCTAGTCCCTAATTTGAAGTACACTTCTAAGAACTGTGCAGAATTTTATGGGCTTATGTTTTTGAGTGAATTAATAAGGAAAATGAAGTGATATCATTATTGACTTCTGGAGAAGAGAAAGTGTCAGTGGCTATATATTAAGAAGACTTGTTTTTATTGCAGCTCATTTTTGCCGAGTTATATTTTGGCACTTCTAGAATCTTTTAGACATAAATATGCATGAGGCATAAATCCTGCCTTTACGAAGCTCTCAATCCTACGGGGCCACCTGAAAGGTGCTGATCATACCATAATGGAGACGAAACACGGGACTTTTGCGGGTATATAATTCTGACCATGGTGGTGATGAGAGATAATTTCATGGGTTACTAAATTTAGTTTAGAAGTTAATCTAAAGTATTTGGCAAATATCTTTTTCTTGTGATGTGATCATCGCCCAGGTGTTCATTACTTTTTCATTTTCTCTTGTAGAGACGCCCCAGCAGATGGCCTGCAATGAAGTTTCGAAGAGGTTCTGGCCATCCTGCCTATGCTGAGGTTGAACCAGTGGGAGAGAAAGAAGGTTTCATTGTATCAGAGCAATGCTAAAATTTCTAGGACAGAACAGCACCAGTGCTGGCTTACAGGTGTTAAGACTAAAATTTTGCCTATACCTTTAAGACAAATAAACAAACACACACACACACACACACACAAAGGAATCCTAAGCTGCTGTAGCCTGAAGGAGACAAGATTTCTGGACAAGCCCAGCCCAGGAAGGGAGAAAGAAAAACTAAAACTTAAACAAGATACCATTTACCACTGAACATAGAATTCCCTAGTGGAATGACATCAATAGTTCACTCAGAACATCTCCTGTGGGCTTATCAGAAGTTTGACAAGATTACAATGCTGTTGGCTTAGGTGCAGGGTTGCAAAGGGATCGAGAAAAAAGAATAACAAGAAAGCTTTAGTTCACGAGGGACCTACACTTTGGTTCAAATTTTCTTCTCTGATGTCTCAAAGACAACACTGTTCCAAAGCCGGAACCGTTTCGCTCAAAAGAGCAATAATGAATGTTGCAAGATGGCTGAGAAAAATAGCTCCTGCAGGAGCAAAAACATACAGAGACTAAGAGATTTTCTATCTTTTCACCAGACGGGCGGCAAAAGGATTTTGTTTTTCTGGTCCAGCTCCACCTGTTCCAAAAAGTTCATTATTTTACAGGATGAATCTTTTATCTGTACTGGAGGTTCAGACGATGCCTCCCTCTTCCTTGTTAATGAAGGCCCTTTCTCTGAGCTGTGACAGAACTTACAAGCTTTTAGCTAAGGATTAGGAAAGAGGGAGTGGCAAATGAGGCCTTCCATTCTCCCACCTCAGAATAAAAGATCTGATTTGTTTTATGAAGCGTTGCCTCCATTTCCCAACTGTGAAGTCCTATGAAGACACAGTTGCTCTTGGCTGAAGGAAACGAAAGGAAACAATACAGAGAGTTCCTTAGTTGTTGTTTGAAGCAAAAATGTTAAGGGATTCTAATCATAGGGTTTTGTTTTTTTGGTTTTTTTTTTTTACTTTTTGCCATTTCAGTACTAAAGGCCCATTTTATTGTCGATTCCTGAGAAGCCATTCAAATCAGCATATCCCTGGCGAGAAAAAGATCGAGAGAACCCTGCTGAATCATACAGTAATTTTCTTTAAAGCACATAGTAGTTACATAAATATATATATAAATATATTTTTGTTTATAACTAACACAAGGCAGGCTCTTGTGACTCTAAGAGTGCATTTTGTCATCAAGACAAGAATGCAAGATGCATTACTGCATACTTCCATAGAGTTGTAAAATAATCCTTAATATTAGAATATTTTTATGTCACTTAGCGAAAGTGGTTCAATTAATTGCAGTGCCGATCATTATCCTGCCGATTTGAGCCACTCCTTCATTCCTATCAACCTCTTCCCTCCCTGGTTAGAGAAAACAGATGCAAAAGCTCCTTAGATGGATCTGTCATTTGCCCTGGAATCACAATCCAGATTTCCAAAGTTCCCCTGAATGAAGAAAAGAAAGGCATCCGTTGAGCAGGAAAGCGGTTAATATATATACTGAGCTCCTGAAGTTTAAATTCAGGTACTGTGTGTACAGTTCATCAACATCTCGACCCGTGAAACTTACATCCTGTGCCAAGAAGCTGTTGGTTCTTGTAGGGTACAGTGTCCAACATTTGCAGATTCGGGTATAAAGAAGCAGAGAAGTCTCTTACACAGCACTTTATCAATGGCTTAGCATCTGTACGCGGTGTCTACATTGAATGACATCAGTCCACTAACCAAGTATCGTATTTATCGTCACAATTGTCTGATGCAAACTAGTGCCATTTTCCATCATTCTATATTGCTTTACACTTGTAAGTACCTGATGAGGGTGGCAACCTAACCTACTTAGTTAATAATTGCAAAAAAATTGACAAGCAAGGTGATTGAAGGATGTGATGACAATCTGTCTGCTGTAGCTGCTTTCTGTTTATATGAAATATCCCACCCTTATTTCTTGTGGATTAGGTTTGATCAGATAGCAATAAGCAAATGACTTGCCAATGTAACTGGTGCAACTGGTATTCTACAAAGACATAAGGAGCACACAGACGATTCCTTTTAGGATAAGAAGATGCTTCTTTCACTAGCTTTTGTGGTAGGTGTGGCTTCCAACAGCAGTTGATTGACAGTTGTATAAATCCCGCATATATATCCAACTCCTTACACAATTCTTTGAAGTAGTAATGTTATCTTTATACCCTTTCATTTTCCATTTTTGTTCAGAAGAATTGACAATTCTCTAGAAAAATGTAAAACCCTCTGAATTGTTCTGTGAACTAAAGCACTAAGGAAGAAAGACAACATGTTGCAGGTAAAAAGGCTGCTGATGTGCAGGAAAACCTCTTCATAGAACTCAGAGTTAAAGGTGGTGAGAAGTTTCCATTGTATGTGAACTTTTGGTGGTAAGAGAAAAGCTGACTGAATCCCCTTTTTTCGTGAAAACTTCATCCTATTTTGTTTCTGGTTTATTCTTGGTGCCCATTTTCTCCAAAGGAAGAGCAAATGCAAAGAGCTTCTAGAAATCCAGAATGGATGCTGCTGCTTTAGACTTTACGTATATTAGGTATTACAAAGGGCGCTTCTGTACATTGCTTAATATCTTTTGAACATGTTAGAGAATAACAATAATAATTAAAAGATTAAGAACAGCAAAGGAACACACAAACCTCTGGTGAAATCAGGTAAATGGAGCTACTGAGGAAATTAGTTATTTCATCTTAATTATTTGTAAAAATGATATTCAGTAATTAAAGTTATTAAAAGTCAAGAAAAATATCTTAAGCCAGCCAGATGGCACTGACCACAATGTTGCTTTGTTTATGAAGGGTTTGGACTTCAAGATATACTAACAAATATAAAACAAAAGATAAATGATAACATACAATTTACCCCCAATTATTATTTTAGTTTGAGATACCTAGGGATTTGCTAATCTCTCGCATGTGGCTTCTAGAACTATGCTGCACAATATTATATCCAGGAGCCGAATGTGGTTATTTATTTAAATTTAGATTAATTAAAATTAAATAAAAATTCTGTTCTGAGTCACACTAGCCACATTTCAAGTGCCCAGTAGCCACAAGTGGCTTGTGGCTACCATATTGAACAACGCAGAACATTACCATCATGTAGAAAATTGGATTACATAGTGCTGTAGAGGTCTTTCCTTTTACTTCCCTCTCCTTTAAAAAAAAGGAGGAGAAGGAAAAAAGAGGAGATTTGGTAGTTCCTGGGCATATCTAAGCATTTTTTATCTCAGAGAGCAATGTGGAGTAAGGAAAAGAATACTGGCTGACCCAGCTTTGAGTCTCCATTCTTGTTATTTTGGAAAATCACTTTTAACCTCCAGGAGACTCAGTTTGTGATTTGGGGAAATAAAAATATTTTTGTCCTATCTTCCTTGCAAGATTATTATTATGCAGATTGACTAAATGTACAGGTGTACAGACTTTTAAAACCTTATGTCAAAGTAACCCATATAAAGCACATCTATTGGTCCAACCAGCACAAATTTGCATTCAGAGGAAGAAAGGTCCATCAGTCCAGAAAGCATTCAAAGACAATCAAATTGATCTGTTTCTTGAGAAAATGCCAAAGGAGAATACATTCAAAACACACAGCAAATTGCTTAAGTTTCTTTTTTCCCATCTTAATATTTTCTCTTAATGTTTCCTCTACATGACATCTCTCCCAATGTCTCTCCTCTCCCAGGCCACAGCGTCCTGTGTGCATCCTTCAACTGGCTCAGTTCTTTCCAATGGAGTCCCTTAGCCTCTCTGGTGTCTTCTGATTTCCCAGTCTACTCATCACAGCAAAGGGAGGCCCGAGAGCTAACCAGCAGTGTTCTCTTTAGAAGGAAATACCTCAAGTACAAATAATTTCAAATATTAGTTTATCCCTGGTAGCATGAATACAAGGGGCTATCACATTAAACTATAAATATGTGAAACAATTTTAAATGTAAAAATTTGCAAATGCAGACTCTACAAAAGGAATCAAATTAAGTTAAATTATGCTAATACGCAGATATATATTCTCAGATTAGTATTTTTTATTAGTTTTTGGCAAAAAAAATTTCTTATGTTGTTTCCTCATTCTGAAGGAGTATAAATTTGGTAATGCCCCAAGTGTCTATTGTCCATTTGAGATAAAGTTTTGCTGGAACACACATCTTGGTTCAAGACACTTCCATTCCATGATAAGAAATTAATATTTAAATAACACTAACTTAAAAATAGATCCTATGGCTATGGTTTCTCCTTCCTGTGACATGTTATTTTGTTTTGTATTTCTTCAGGGCTTTTTCACATGTTTTATTACGATGTGCCCTGCTCATTCCAAAAGGTTGCTCTTGCTTTTTCTTTCCCACCACAGCTCACGGCGCACTATGGACATCAGCATCCATATGCCAGAATCATGGGAGATATCTAATCCAACCTCTTCATTTCACAGATCAGAAAATTGAGGCCCAGAGAGAGAGAATAATTTTCCCAGTATCGGCACTGGGTCTTGAGCTTAAAACTCCTGACTGGTTATTTTTGTTCCAGTTCTCTTTGCCTACACCCCTTTGTTGGCATTTAAGACCAACCAAGCAGCTTAGAAGGCACAGTCCATCTAAAGGCTAACTTTATTTGCCACATTGACTGTCTGCTCTGTCCTCTATTATGGAACATTGGGCCAAGCTTCCTCTGTCATGTTGCTGTCTTAAGAAAGGTGCCATTTGTATAGCAACCAGCGATTCCAAGTTCTAGCCTAATATCACAGGGTCTTTAGTTGGCTTCAAATATTCCTTCCCCCTTCTCCTACCTGTCTCCATCTAAATTAGCAATACTATTTATCTTTGTCGATTTAAAATTATTCTCCCTTTGTTTCTTTTCTTCCCAAACGTACCTGAATGCTAATCATCTTCATAGCATATTTTCTTATGACATATATGATCACAATTCTTATTTGCTTTTTAAACTATTTGAGCATTTTTCCCTAAAAAAGATTTTTTGAGCAAATATTACAAGGTCTGTGGAATTGCCTATTATCTACCCGTATTTACCTTGTGTTTGTGAAGCACTTTGCCTTTTACAGAGCACTTTGATGCATCCCTTTGTTTGTTCATTCAATCACTCAGTTCACTTAAATATTTATTAAGCACTTACTGGAGCCAAGTTCCTGTGCAAGATCTAGTGGTTTATAGTGACAAATACAAATAGTGAGAGATCAAGCTTGTCCACTGATAACGATAATATGGTGAAATCCTCAAACACAACTTCACAAGGAGGTGGGATCAACATTACTCTATTCAATTTCCAATTCCAATTTTCTATTCTACTTAGATAGGGAACAATCCAGATTCTGCCTGAAGAATGCTTCTGAATGATACATCTGTGCTGTTTGCTCTATTTCAAAGGATCTGTTAATTTTACTATGAGAAGAAAAGTTACTCATCCGAAGTTTAGACCCAGGAGGACCTTCTAGGTCACTTGAATTCTTTCTGACCAGATGCAGTTCACTTTCCCACACCAATGTTTCTTTTGTGACTTTTTGAAGTATCAAGATCATGAAATAGTCCAGGAAACCCAGTGTATCAAAGACGCATTTGCACTTTAGATCTGTGTGGCTGTTTGCCATTTATTAGGCTGTCTCCAGTTTTCTCAGCCTCGGCACTATTGCCATTTTAGGCTCCATAATTCTTTGTTAGGGGAATGGGAGTGGTCCCGTGCATCGCACAGTGTTTGGCAGCTTCCGTGCTTCTATTGAGAATATGCAAGTAGCTCACATACAGCCCTCTGCCCAGTTGTGACAACTAAATATGTCTCCAGACATAGCCAAACGTCTCCTGGGGTAGGATTGGGAAAACTACTGGATTAGCTAGTGAGCAAAATATATCAGGAGAAAAAAGCACACATTTCTCTTTCTCTTGTCACTTAATCTTCATCATAGATAAGTTTTCATTCACAATAAGACTTAGAACCATAAACTCTGAATTAGAAGGGGCTATGAAAGTCACCAGCTCAGCCACAACCCAACATCATCCTTATCTATCTCTCCATCTCTTGGTTTTACAAACGTATTGAGAGAAGATCGGAAGATTGGTTATCTCTGGGAACTTGGGAATTGACTTTTTCAGAGCTGGAGATAAGGCTGCTCAGTAATTACGCTTTGCTGCTGTAATAGCTGCTGCAGTGGTTTTTGCTTCCAGGTGGGGACTTGGGGTCACACAGCTTCTGTATCTCAGACTTTGCTTTGAGGAGTTTTCTTTTGGTCATTTCACACATCTACAAATTTTGTTCTTTCGTCTCTTTACCTTTAAAATGTGCGTAGAAGTTAAAGTTTGGTACATCTAATTTTAAGCATATCTGGATGAGCTTTTGATCTGATACTGATTTTTTATTGTCCCTCTTTGGGGAAAAAAATTTTTTTGACTATCCTCAGTAATTGAAAATTGAAAATTTCTAAGTTAGAATGTCTAAATCTGTCAAGCCAAAGTTCCTACTGATTTGATGTGCCTTATGTCAGTTTTCCTGTAAGGTCTATGATTTCCTATGATTAACTTTGAACCCAATCAGTTTGTACTTGTGTCTATTCTGTACCAATTGGAAAACTTGGTGAAGTTATACAAAGACAAACCCTTAAGAAAATTCCTAGAAATAACAAACCCCCAGGGAGAGTATCAGGCCTCCTTTTATTCCTTTGCTGGAAGACCAACCTAGATTTGAAAGCACTCATAATTATTTTCTACAAGTTGCTTCTATGGATATACAGTTGAAAACCTTGATGGCAAACTCTAAGGCTATGGAATATTGACAAGCACACTCAGAGTGAATTCTCATAAGACAATCATGGAAATCAGAACACCCCAACCCAGGAGACCCTCAAGCGTGCATATAATTTTCTACTATACCACTGTCATATCAGACAATATGGTGTTACTTAACATTTTGATTAAGTTGATCTTCTAATTTCAACTTAAATTGTAACACAGCTGCCTAATTATTGCCTGACATAACTTTTAAACTATCCAGTGCCCACTGCTCTCACAATGATTATTGCAAAGTGGTAAGATGATAATTATTCCAGTAAAATCATATAATTTCTTGGATCACTTCTCTATAACAAGTTTATGGAAAACATCATCACTGACTTCTCAATAATACATTTATTATAAATGACCAAATTATGTCTAGAGAAATAAATTGCTCAAAACTCATTGTAAATGAATTTCCAGATCACTGTTCACACTGAAAGATTGTGTTACTTTAAATCCAGAATAAAAGGCTGGAAAAAAATTCATGCAAATCATACACTGGTACACATCGTTTTGTAATTTCTAAGATTTATTAACATTTGAGAATTAGTGAAAAAAAAAAAATCGACTCCTGATGGAAGAAAGTAAAAAATTTTAACTTGGCAAACAGTGATATATTCATTTTGATTTCAGCTGAAAAATCTCAGTGACTTCTCTCATTCCCACTGGAGTGCTGATTTTTAAAAACAGTCTCTCTTTTCCTTAGCATTACAAAAAATATATATTCGTGACCAACATTTCACTTACTAATCATGCAGCTATAAACCTTTTGTGCCTATCGAATAGATACATAGCATGAAACTAATTTTAGAAGTTTGTTACGTAGGGAGAGGTAGAAACACAGTGGGAAAATGGGGACGATTCATGGAAAACAGAAAGATCAAAATATGTTATCAAGCAGGGTTTTCAATTTCTTCAGAGCAATGTGCAAATAAATATTCAGTGAGGATCAGCTCTGATTTAGGTCAATCAGACATTCAGACACTGGGGCACAGATCCAGCAATGATGCTAAGAAACATGTGACATAGAGAAAGTCAAGGATGTCCCCAATTAATCTTAAAACTCAGCCCTCATCCACCTGTACCCCTCCTATGGCACTAGTCCTAAGATCAGCAAGGCCCTTGCTCTTGGGGATTGGGTTGCCTACGGTCAGATGATGACCCAAAAGAGACTTTCCATTTATCTCCTTTTGACTTGCAAGGCCTGTTCTTTGCTTCCCTAATACCAGAGATCATGAGACAGCCAACCACATATAGGCAATAAAATACAATTTAAAAAAAAATTTCCTGAGGAAAGAATAAGAGAGGGCTTTTTGAACGGTAGACCCATACCTGGATCTCTGGGAATTTTGACCTTCTCAGGACTTAGACTCAAGTACTATTGTCTAGACATTGTGGTCAAGTCTAAGCAACCATTTTAGAGATAGTTTGAACAAAATCATACTCAGATTGCCATATTTTTAGCAGAGAAATAAAATCTCAAATTAAATGTCCTCTACCAGGCTACTCTGAAAATACCATTAAGTGAAATCAGAGCTTCCCTTGCTAAGAAATGTTAAAATCATTTTAGGGAAATGAATTAAATTTCATTAGACACAGACATTCTGAGTATAAGTAGATCTTAGGGCCCTTGCTGAGAAGGGGAAAGTCTTTTCATGGGTTGGTCAAAACAAATCTCTCATTTGCCCCATTTGAGGCATTGGGAGAGTGCCTGGGAAGTACATTATTTTCAGGGCAAAAAAAAGAGACAGCCTTTTTTGCATGCCAGCTGGGATCATGGGAACGTCCAATGCCAGGAATTTACTGCTGTTTCTGGTAATTCTGCTTGTAGTCATTTGAAATGTTCAAGTGTGAAAGGAGAAGAAGTTGGGCACCCGGGGGGCTGTCTGTGTTTTATGCCAGTTGCACCAGCACACAGAATATTTGTAAATGCATTTCAAAGTGGGTATAATTGTACCCTTTGTCAGAATCACAAAGCTCACTGGGGTGCTGCTGAAAGAGAACACTGGGGTAAATCTGACCCTGTAAACCCAGTCACCCCCAAGCAAAAGGAAAGACTGTGGGTGAGCACAGCACATTGCCAGCTAGTTTCTGAGTTTTCTAAAGCCTTGTATGTCAAATCAAGGACAGGTCTCTCAGGTGAAGGTTAATTTTGCGGAAGTTTTCCAAAACCTCATTTAATACAGGGCTTGGAAGAGTATTTTGAATTTATTCCAGTCCCCCGGGCATCATTCTGTTTCCTCTGCCATGTCAATGAGACATTCTGAGGCTGCATTCTTTCACGTTGAATTAATGTACACATACTTCATGACGACCTCGTGCTTGACATACCTGATCCTGCAAATGTAAAAAGGATTGTATCTGAATTTGCACTAATGGTGTTGGATAGCAGAAGAAGCATGACCTTTATTGAAATCTGCTGTTTAAATTCAGTCATTCAGATGCTACATCCTTCTGCAACTAGATTTTCACTGTAAGATTAATTACCTAAGTTTGAATGTATTTCCTTACAGTTCGTTAATTTGCCATCTATCTTTTACCTGGGCATCATTATGATTGCAATCATTCATTAAAGGTTTCCTCACACAGCTTCTTAAATCAAGTTTTTCTGCAATTCTTCTGGTTCTCCGTACAGTATGTGGGAAATGTTTTTTTTTTTTTCTAGTAATAATTTTGTAAGAAAGCCAGTGTATTGACTGCCATGGCAACACAATTTATCTTTAAAGGTCTAGAAGCTGGTGGTGACCAAATGTTACCTATGTTCTCTCTGTTGGTTGCTCTTTTTTGGAATTAAATCTTGTTTCTTCATTTTCAGTTTGACTCAACAAATTTGGGATTTTCAAGGGGGAGAAGGGAGCAATTTGTGTAATACTGCTGTCATATTTGACTACATATTAAAAACAATAAATGATCATTTTGTTTTAATTTCTTAAATACTTTTTACCGTTGTCTTTCAACATATTTTCGTTTCCTTTCCATCATTAGTTTTGGAAAAATTCTACCTATTATGAAAGAAAATCTTTGCTCAGTGTCCAGAGCCACAGGTTAATGATAGGATAGAAAATCCTTTTGCTTCTAAACCTGTCCCAACTTGGGGACTGATACCAACAAGAGAGGACTGTAGAAAACAGAGGACCTAGAATATCATAGTGTGCAACTGGGTGGAGACATGGTCTCCATCCACAGCACACAGAGCCCAGTGTTGAGTTGTTCCAGATCAGACAGGTGGGATTTCAGCTGCCACTTTAAATCCTAATCCTGGAATAAGTCAAGGTAATTCAGTTCAGTTCTTGCCTCTGTCACTAGTCTTGGTTTATGAACTCCAATGGCTTTCCAAATGAGTTACTGAAGGTTCCCTATTATTTCATCCCTTTTCCCAAACTGGAAATGATTGTACCTATTTCTCAGGGGCTTCGGGATGTGCACCTCAGCTGATTTACATAGAATGTCTGAAGTGAGATGTTTTGAATTCCAAATATTCTCTCCCTGTTCCCTCATCCACCACTCTTGGACTACCCTTTCAACAACACCAAGCACACACAGGCCTGAACCCAGGGCCAGGAAGCAAGCGCCACAAGCTGCTGGAAATTCCAGTCAGTGACAGTGGTCAAGAAATTGCTCTGTGCAACTCAATAATGCTTTTTAAAATCTTACCTCTGTATGGATCTTTTGGACTGTACTGATTCAACTTTGATATCATGGAGTAAATTCAGAACTGCAATTTTAAATGGTGTGAATTGTCTTTATGATGCCAAAAGGGAACAATTATTAATGTAAATCATGCAACTTTCCCCAACAAGGGAACGACATTAAGGCCAGTGCTTTTAAAAATCATTTAAGGTGTGCCATTTCCTTAAATAATGCAGTGGAAATGTTAAAAAAAGGAATGCCAATGACAATCACACAACTTTTAAGTTAGCTGTAGATATATCTCTTATACATATGGAGACCAGGTCTTCTCCTCACCGATCCTCTACTCCAAACCACTATTTTTAGCATCAGAGCCTTCCAACATGCAATTGGGAATGTTTCCCCCTCAGTTTATTTTAAGAAACATTTATTAAATGTCTAACCTGTGCTATGCAGTGTGCTTGACACCACGGCTACAAAACAAGACTAGGTTCTTGCTTTCAATAAGCCTACAGTGTAGTGGGGGAAACAAACATTTAAGCAAATGCAGCAAATTGAGGATTATAGATCCCAAGATAGAGATATTTAGATGGTACCGTGAAGTCACAGAGGAGGGACGAGTTAATTCTGCATGGAAGGCATCAGGGAAGCTTTCACAGAGCGAGTGATACTTGAACTTTGTGTTGAGGGGTAAGTAGGTCTTCGCCAGAGGACAGCATTCCAGGGATGGAGTGGCTGTGAGCAAGTGGACTGGCTGGGGCAGAGGGAGCAAGAAGAGGATGGCTAGAGAGTAGGCTGAGGCCAGAAAGTTAAAGCCCTTGAAGACATTCAGAGTGTATCTTCAAAACAGTAAATTCACTTGAAAGTTTTGAAGCACAGAGGCCATATAATCCAAACCATTTTAGAAGGATCACCCAATAGGCAAAGTAATGGGTGAATTGCAGGGGAGAAAGCTGGGAGACCATTCTGGAGACAACTACTCAAGTCTGGCTACCGCTCCATGACTTCTATTCCTTCTTAGTTCTCAGATCTTAGCCTCCCCACATTCAGTCCTCTGCTAATAAAATCCAAGCCCATCAACATGTACAAAATGCCTCACTCTCCTACAACCATCCTTTCCAGCAAATTATACATTCCCTTCCCCCCAAAGTAACAGCACCGCACAACTTGACAGATTTTCATCTGAAATCAGCTACACCTGCCCAGGTTTACCCATCTCTGTATAGAACAAGAATTCTCTTTTTTATCTTCTAAAAATCGCAAGGCAACCCGGACAATCAAGACTGCCTGAGACAGAGGTTAACTTTCCTCTACGATAAGGATAAAACGGGAAAACAACATGTATCATCAACTTTCTTCCTGTCCATATAGACTTTATTAATTAAACTATTTGAGACTTTAATTTAAGGTGTTGTCCCTGAAGTAAATGATCCAATGATTTTTTTTGTGTAATGTTAATACTTAACCCATCGAGTTGTCCTCAGAATTCATGAATTAGTAAATGCTCAGTTTCTATGGTTATTACAAACTCCACAAGTCTGAGTTAAAGAAAGGAATCAGAAAGATCAAATAGTTTCACATTCAAGTGGGGACCCGCAGCGTGATGAAGCCCGCACCATGGGTACAGTTGAGTGTCGGTAAAGGGCAGAACTAAATCTCAGATCCAGCAGGGAGGCAAGGAAGGTCAAGATTGACAGAAACTGAAGGCAAAGTCACACCACAGTGAGAAGATTTCAATGCAAACCGCCTCTGGATAATTTGAGAAGCTACTGAAGTATTTCAGAGCTCTCCAAGGAAGCAGATAAACACCCGATTTAGTCTTCAGGGAAACTGAAGAAGTCAGTCATGAGGCTAGTTGACTCCCATGAACCCGACTCTGCTTTTAAAGAATGTAGCCTTGCAGTTCAAGTGCATTCTCATTACACGGGAGTGTGGCTTGTCCCTTGGAGATGTAAGGAGCATATAGAAGAACAGAAACCAACAGTTTTGTAAGACTCTTTTAAGCCTCCCATTTACAGGTAGCCAGATTTCATACCTGCATCCCATGACCTGGGGTGTAGCAGGCATAAAGGCAAGGCAGACGAGAGCACAGAAATAGAGAAAAGGTAGCAGTGGGCATGTTAAGAAATGTCATTGACACATCTGCTTCTCTGATCTGAATGTAGGGCAATTATAGTTTTTGGAAATTTCAAAAAATGCATCAATGAGTGAAAACCAATGACAGTCCCATTGTGTTTGCAACTCTAGGCCATGTAGGAACCCCAAGATCCACCTTTTGATGGGCTTATTATTTCGTGTGAGTTGCTTTCGCCTTGAAGACACGGAGAAATGTACTTGGCCTGCCAGAGTAAATACACTTCAGAGATGCCCACATCTCTTGATAAATGTTCATTGACCCCTTTTTAATGAGCATTACTCTTAACAGCTGCAACAAACTTTACTTAGAGCCTTTGAACTTCTACCAGATATTCTCCTGACATTTTTGTCGGTGAACTTTACAAACATTTTGCAGTTTCAGAGTAACACTGGGCTATTTTTCTCCCCAGATTTCTTTCTAGCATTGCAATTTAGATTTCCTTCTGAAAGAATTCATCTTGGTGTGAGCCCTGATAGAATGTGAAGCAAATTTCTTCTGCTGCAGTTTGGCTGCAAGCCTAAGAGGATGAGATGCATAAATTATTCTAAATGCCATAGAATCTTGCATGTTATTTCTTTCTAGAATGTTTTAAATCTGAAGTGAGATACTGAACAAGCAAGAGCACATCACCAGAAACAGTGACTTGCAAAAAATGAAGCATCTCTTTTGTAAAATGGTGTCATTTGGAATTTAATTGGATGTCATATTTTTGAGGAAATGTGCTATTTGAACAAGACTAGGTCTCAGTGGGTTAAACAGTAGTAGGGCAAAAAAAGGAACAGTACTGTTAGAGAAATGAAAATGAGGTCTTCGATATTACAGGAGACTCCTCAGTCACACAGACGACAACAAACTGTGGCAGAGGGAGGTGTGCGTGTAGGGGGAGGGGAACCATGTGGATTTTCTATTGTTTTACTTTATGCCCCAACATGAAGCTTTTTTGAGGCACTGGGGTGGGAGTTCACTGACTTCAGACAGATCTCTGCAGTCAGTTTGATTTCCTTGACATAAAACCACAACTGATAAGTGACCCGGCAGTCACAGCTCAGAGACGTGAAGACATCCAGTTCCCTCTAACACAGGAAGGAAGTCCAATGGTGATTGCTTTCTGCCCTTCTGATAAATGTCAAACCAGGATCCCCATGTCAAGAGCTTCCTGAAGAGTATCCACTCTCCATGTTACATATGTCTGTTTCCTGAGACAAGTCCTCCCTCTCTGCCAATAATATGAGGTATCAGGCCATCTGACACTCCCACAGAGCAATTAAGGGGACAAGCTCTGTGACACAGTACAGCTGACCTGTCAAAGCCCATTTCTTCATCTACAAAATGAGCATTAAAATAGTCCTTGCCTCCTAGGATCATTGTGACAAATAAATGACCTGAAATGTTTAGTTTTGTGTTCTGCCATAACATTCAATAAAAGTTAGTTATGTTGTCATTATTGCTGCCTATGAAAGATGAGTTGGTTTTGGTAGCAAAAATGCTTAGTCCTTAAGTAGATAAATTTAAGGCAAAAATGTAGAGAGGAGCAATTAACTGGAAGAACAGTTTGGGAAATAAGCAGTTCAAACTAGAAATTGCACGGAAGAAAAGCTACTTCCTTTATATTCTTCTTACTCAATCTCCCTGCAAGTTTCGTTTCTCTCCACCATCTATGTCATTCTTAGCCTTTCCCGATTCTAAGAGATTTATCAGAGTGAAAACAAAGGAAATCTTAAATCTAAGCACTGAAAAATAAAGAAGTAAATACCAAAACCAAATAATAAGCCTATATTAAGAACATTTGGTTACAGAATTTTTTGACAGAAAAAGAGATACCTGGGGGCCGGCCCAGTGGCGCAGCGGTTAAGTTCTCACGTTCCGCTTCTCGGAGGCCCGGGGTTTGCCGGTTCAGACGGATCCTGGATGTGGACATGGCACTGCTTGGCATGCCATGCTGTGCTAGGCATCCCACATATAAAGTAGAGGAAGATGGGCACGGATGTTAGCTCAGGGCCAGGCTTCCTCAGCAAAAAGAGGAGGACCGGCAGTAGTTAGCTCAGGGCTAATCTTCCTCAAAAAAAAAAAATAAAGAAAGAAAGAAAAAGAGATACCTGCTTTTTTTTTTAACTTTATTCATTTGATTTTTTATGGTTTTACACAAAAATCACATATTTTTGTATGT